GGGGGTGGGGGGGGGGGGAATTGGCGATATTCTGAGCAAATATTAATTTGCTCCGTAAATGAAATTGACAGGATACTGAGCTTGGGATGAGACGAGGGGTTCATTAGCCCAATTTCTCAAAACAAATCACGGTTTATTTTTATCGCTTTCCTCTTTCCCGTGTCGATAAAATATTAGCCAAAAAAAAAGGCTCCAGAAAATTCGAATCATGGAGGTTCGAAGCGGAAAAGTCTTCTAGTCAAGAGAGATCATCAAGGCATAGATTCTGAGAAAATTCAGACAGGGACTTGAAAAAATTCGATGAATAGAGGTATTCGATTTCGGGAGGTTCGATGGCAGTAGGAATTCACGCGAGCTCAACCAGACAACCAAAAAAAAAAAGAAAAAATTTCATAGCGAAAGAAAAACCCAGATTTTTTAATAACAATGTTACGAATTCTAAAAAAAAAAAACAGCCTGAGTTTCACATTAAACGCAGCAAAAGGCATTCCGATGACTCACATGCTCATGTCCAACAACTGGTCCAGATCAACACCCCTGTAGGTGAACTTCCTGAAGGTTCTCTTCTTCTTCTGCGCTTCATCAGCCTGCAAAGAAGAGGAAAAAAATTCCCGTGTCAGCCACAAATTTCCTCGTTCACACATCAACAATGTCCACTCACCATGTTTACGACGTTTGTTGTTTATGTTTTCCGGAAAACACACACAAAAATCCAACTCAAGAGATCTGCGAAAAGCACAGGAAAATAACCATAAGAAAAAAATGCAAATTGTCACGAATCGCACAAGAAAACATGTACCCACAGGACAGAAAAGCGCCATTTTTATTTTGTTGCCTCGTTCTTTTTTTTTCTTTCTTCACCCGGAAGGCCAATTCAAAATAAACAATATTACAGAAAGAGTGGATCAAATTACGTATTGCACTATAAACAAATTAAGGCAGTCTGTTTCAGCTTCTAAGAATTAGTTGCAGCCAACCTTCAACCCCGTTCAGTTCGCCTTCTTCGAGATGATGAGCGGGCCAACGTTGTCACCGGTTTCTTCATTGTGCTTATTGTGAGCACCGTCGCAATACGGGAAGTTCTTGGACCTCCAGCACCTGGGGATTTCATCAAGAATGTCCAATCAGAATTCTACAAGTTCCGCGGCTAATTTTCACATACCGTATTTCATCTTTCATTGGACATAAATCAACTAAAGACACCATGTGAAATACAGTAAAATCTCCTGGCAACAATTTTTTCTCAAGTCCTGACAGAAATTCCATAGAGAACATATTAAAACAACATTGTTAAAAAAATGCAAAATTCCAATATGAACAAACTTTTCCATGAATGTTGGAAAGATTCTCCAGGTAGAAATTTCCTGACTAAAGCAGGAAGAGTGTGAAAATTCTGATCCCAAATGTGATCTTGTAGAATTAGATGGAAGCTGTAATGAATGACAACCATACTTTCAAGTGGTTCCTCACATCATCCTCCCAGAATGATGAGATCAGTGAAACAGATGGAATGCATGATTGAAGCCATTTTTTTCCAGATCACTCAGTTCTTCAAAAAAAAATGAAAATGCCATAAAAGCAAAATGAAATTAATTGTAGGCAGGTCAGACATGACAATTTTTACCAGCCATTCATTTTGAAAATCTTGTCACAACAAATTCTTTAGTAGAACAAACTTCTCCCAAAGTCCACAACATTTTTTTATACGAGATTTCTCAATGATTTGAGAGATTACTGACATCCATCCATACGGAAAACACCTTTATAATGGTTAGTTCTTAGGAGGAATGATCTACAACAGTGGGCCAATATTTGACGAAAATTAAAAGAAAATAAGTCCATCCCATCGCACAGACTCTTAAAATATCGCAAGTCCCGAAAAAAGAAAATTACCTGCAAAAGACTTTCTTGTCTCCAATATCCTCAATATCCTGCGTGTCCACACGCTTCGAGTTCCCTTTGTCAATGGTCAAGTTCACCTTGGTGTGCTGTAGAAACGAGAAGAGACATTTTGTCAAGTAGACTACAAAACGGCGTCACAACCGTTTTCCATCAACTCACATCATGAGCTGTCGTGCCCAGAGGACAGAACTTGATCAGCCCCGGGGCTGCGACGCGCATGGAAGTGTGCACCAACCAACCAAGACCAGCCATTGCTCCAGCCAAAGGGACCAGAGACGCCCAGTCTTTCACTAAATAAAAAAAGAAGAAAAGCAACACCTGATCAATGATTTCTGCAAAAACTTCTTTTTCAAAATTCTCAGACTGGCCCTTCCTTGTTGAAGATACACCCACAAAAAAATTATACCAATGGCAACCCTGCGCATGCCTTGCATACTCGGAAAACAACTAAACAAGTTACATTAAAATTTTGAAGATTGATATTCTCGTCTGTAATTACCCCTCGGCATCACAAGCATAAGCACAGCCGTCAAATACTGTACTTCATTTGCTCAAGTAGCATGCAAACGGCTTCTTTCTGAATTTACAAGAAAAAAAGAGAGCGTGTGCATCAGTGGGAAGTTCAAAATTGTTCAAGGTTTCTTTGCTCCTCATACTTGAATTCCAACTGAAACTTTTCAACCAATTCCTACACACAATTTAAAAATTGGAAACGATGAAAAAAATTTAAATCAAGATGAAAATTCGGATGTATGTTCTTTTTTTCTTCAAAATATTTCAATTTTCAGCCTCTGAAAATTGTGTGCGCGTCTCACTTTTAAATAAATTTTCATCCCATTTCAGGTTGAAAGTCAAAGGTGCGTGGTACTTGAGTAAATCTAGTCAAGTAATTGGCTGAACATCGACTGGTGGGTTGCCATCTTGCACTCACAGAGAACACCTTCAACAAGGAAGTATCCACACACTTACATGATAAATGAAACCATCCTCCGATGGAATCTGGAATGGGAAGATTCACCAAATATGACCCGATCACGTCCTGCACAACCACTTTCACAAGCTTCATCTTTTGATACTAACCGCTTTCACAAAACCTGCAACAGCAAAAATAAAATATCAAATATTCTAAAAAAAAAAAAAAAAAAACCAGCATGAGACAACCGAGGAAGTACACGATCTTTTCCGCTCAAGTTGATCACACGACGACACTCCCCCCAAGTCGCAGGATGCAAAATGCCAGGACTCTCAGATAAATCACATGCTCAATACAAAAGATCACTCGCTTCCATATCTGACTAGCAATAAGGCACTGGGATTACGATAACAACGCTCACTCATCGAGTCAGTTTCACAGTCCACTCTCGGGACGGGACGGAAAACATTGGAAGGCATCAGTTCCATTCAAAAAAGCTTCCACAGGAATCAAACACAGAAAAAGCTGCTCAAAAACTTGTCGAATCACCATCACACAGGTAATGTAAGCAAGTGCGCTCAGAAAGATCCCCTGCAGAAAAAAAAAAAAGGATTTTAAAAAATTCAAAAAAAATTCAACCTACAGCAAAAAACCCACCACAATAATCCAAAAAAGCGCTTTCTTCAGCAGCGAGAAAAACTTGTCATCGCTCAAAACCACAGCGGCATGAGTGGAGGTGAGAAAGCCTTGCTTGGAACACTGCGTATAAGCCACAACCTTCTCCACTTCACTCAACGTGAAGAAGAACTCTTCTCTGCACACAAACCCATTCCAGGACAAAGCTTCCAGGAAGCAGACTTCGAAACTGTTCACATCCTTCAAATGCTCGCCGGAAATCAGGGCCCATTCGTCGTTGAACACGCCTTCGTCAGTTTCCACCTCACTCAGGAACTTGGAAGCCACCAACTGTAAAGAAAAAAATCCATTTCATCAACAAAATAAATTGTGTCCAGCAGTTTCTTCATGCTGACAACGGTATGAAAATTTCGTTGTGACAAACGTATTTCCCTCTGTAATCTCAGTACTGTACAACAAATTTTCAACTAGATTACGCGTGCATGCGTCATATAACATTTTGAAAAATTAGCAAAACAAGGGGAAACTCACCTTGTGCATAATTAAAAAAACACATATAAATACTGTACTGTACAAATGTTTTTGACCCAAAAATGTGGTCTCGCAGGATGCATGAAGATCAAGTCAAAATTAAAATTTAGAAATGGCCCATTTTCTGAATGCTCAAAAGGGTACTAAACCATTTCAGGAAAAACCTACAGTTGTTGAAGAATAATTCACTTCTTACAAATGTACTTTATGCTTGTTTCACCCCATACTTCACTAAGATCAGTAAATTGGAAGAAAAAAAAAAAGAAAAAAGGGAAGGTCTGAAATTAGAGAATTATACTGTAATTCAAATTTTGAATTCTCTCCATTATTTCATAAAAATATGCTGGAAATGATGGCAATTCCAAACATATATTTTGCTGAAGTACTTCAAACGATATATTACCTATTTCTTACAAAATTTCCCATTCTCAAATGTTCCAAGATCCATGAATCTCATTAAAACGAATAATTCCTGCAAAGTCCCTGAAAGTTTGCTCTAACGAGATCTCACTGCATGACGGACTCAAACATCCAAAGGAATATCACACCAAAAAAAGAATAATAAATGCTCAAGACTCTGCTCTCACCAAGGAAACCAACAACACCAAAGACGGCTGGAATTGAGAAAGTAAGCAAGGATGCCTGTCCTGGATCCTCAACAAGTACACAATTGAAACAATGACAGCCTCAGGCGAGACACACGCGAGAAATGCCAATTGGCAACAATGGTCCACATCCAGGCCTTGTTCCGATCCCGTCAATTCTTGAACAGTCCTCACCAACACTCCTTCAAAAATACGTGCATAGAAAAGTAGTTTCATTATTAAATTGAGATTTGACATTAAAAAAAAGGGTTCACTCACCACCGAGAGCCAAACTTATCTGGGAGTCTTCTGGTTGACCTCCAAACAACAACGTCCTCACCATACGTTTCTGCAAGTTGTAGTGTTCATGTCCAACCTAAGTCAAGAAATCCCAATCAAAATGAACCCATCAAATCGGTACTGATGTCAATTACCGCATTTACTCTAGTACCACTCGCAGCTCAAACCTTTTAATCTAAAAATACACACCTTACTTCCAGTCAGTCACAAGGTTGCAATAAAAGAGTATCTGATTTCTTTTAGAAATTCAATATGAACAATGAATCATCAGTTTTCACCCTAATAAAAAAAACAAATTCAAAATCAACAATAAACTAATCAAATACATTATTTGAAGTAATAATTGTTCTAAATAATTTATGAAGAGCATGACAAGTTAGTTGATTGACTTGTATGCAAACTAACGTAGTATCTCGTTATAACGAATAATCACTTACAAGGAAATCATTTCATTGGTTCCTGCCCAATCGCCACAATGTTACATGAGGTACTTCATAACAAATTTTTCGTTACACTGACGCTATTCTACTGGTCCCAATGCCTTCGTTGTAACGAAATTTTACTGTAATTCAGTCCATTCTTGATATTTTTGCCAATTCCATGGATAAACAATCAATACCCAAAGATGAACAGCAATTTTTTTTTAGACTTGACATGTGCAACCACAATAGGCAGAATTATTGTAGCCTTAGAATGATGCAGAAAGGAGTGAAAAAGCCTGCATTTAGATTTTCAATTATCGCAGTTTTCTTCAATACGGATGTTTTAAAATGGGATTCTAAGGAAGACGTACACGCTTATTTTTGTCTTCCGATTTAAAAAAAAAAAAAAATGCTCGGGAAAATACGAATTACTCACGCAAAGCATTTTGCAGCAGAAACCGTGCGGCCATAATCGCACAGCCAACTTATAAAATCTGCAAATCAACAAGAAACGAGGTTTTTCAGTCCGACATCAAATCCAGAGAACATCGTCTTCCTTTCATAATCCAACAACAGGACAGTGATAACTTTTTATTCTTGAGTATTCTCATGGCAGACCAAACCATCACCAAACTCCCACCACAACACAAGGCACCCTCTTTCCAGCACCCCCGAAAAACATTATTGCACCACTAAGATTCCTTCAAAATTCTTCATTCCCTGGCATCGGGAATGGTTCAGCAAACGCTTCAATTCGCTCTTGCAGCGATTTGATCTTGGCCACAACCTCCGCGTCCTTTTCAGAGAGAGCCAAAAAGTCCACCAACTTCGGGCCAGACTTGGCCTGTATTTCCGCGCACAAATCCACAGCCTCCAGCACGAAACCAGCCACCTTCTTCATCTCGGGCTCCTTCATACCGCGCGTCGTGAGAGCGCTCGTGCCAAAACGCAGGCCACTCGGGTTCATGGCACTCTTGTCCCCAGGTACAGTGTTTTTGTTCAGAGCAATCGATACCTGATGATGATTAGAAGAATAAATAACGTCGGCATCCGCAGTGAGTCCGGGCATAACGAAAAATCCGCATAACGAACACTACTAAAGGGAAAATCATTTCAGTACTTGAATTAGGAATTATTTCACACACCGAAATTTTTGGGCCCAAACTAGTTTCGAAGTTAAGCTTGTTGAAGAATTTTCCAGATATCAAGAAAGCAAAAGTATAGTTTTATATCTTGTCTTAAAAATTTGAGAAATTCAGGAAGTTTCGAACAAGAATCGTCAGGATTATATCAACTTCATGCCGAACACAAATTAAATGGGTATTTAATTTCCTACTATACTTATTTTGCATATTGATGTACATTTTTTGATTAACCAACAACCCCCTTTTAACTCGCCACAAAAAAATGGTGGCGGCTTATCGAAGTTTGGCTGGGATACTGTAAAAAGAGGACATTTCACCTTTTCCATGAGTTTCTCAGCTTTGGACCCCGTCAATTTCTTCGGCCTCAGGTCAACCACCACCAGATGCGTGTCCGTTCCATCAGTGACGATCTTGAAGCCCAGGTCAATGAGACTCTCAGCCAGGGCCTTGGCATTCCTCAAAACCTGCCTCTGGTACTCCCTGTACCCCTCAGACGCAGCTTCCTTCGCAGCCACACACAAAGCACCCACCGTGTTGTCATGGGGTCCACCTTGCAGTCCCGGAAACACGGCATCGTTGATCCTCTTCTCGAATTCCTTGCGGAAAAAGATGACGCCGCCACGAGGTCCACGGAATGTCTTGTGAGTCGTCGACGTGACAACGTGAGCGAATTCGAACGGGGACGGGATCACGTCGGCAGCGACTAGGCCAGACACGTGGGCCATGTCGGCCAGCAAAACGGCGCCCACTTTGTCGCAAATCTCGCGGAAACGCTTGTAGTCGAGACACCGCGAGTAGCAACTGATGCCGGCGATGATCAGCTTCGGTTTGAAGAGCGCCGCTGTTCGCTCGAGCTCGTCGTAGTCGATCAATCCAGTTTCAACATTCACCTTGAACACAGTGTAAGTCAAATTAAATGCTCAACAGAAGTTACTTCAAATACGGAGGAGCCACGAAATGCGTGCTTGCACCTGGTCCCTAAGTCGAATCACGTTTTCCAGACTCCAAATGGGGAGATGTAAAGGGAACTAAAACTTAATTTGTTTCTAGCGCCACACGAATTTTTCCGACACTGTTGCATCGAATAGGTAATCTTTCACCCCCAGGCTTCATCCAGGTACATTGAAAATTCGTAAGTGACTCGCAAGACTTTCGAAAATGAGCTTATGAATGAAAATTTTCAACATACCTTGTATGGCATACTTTCGAAAAACATAGAAGTCGCAGAGATTCGCTTTGTCGCAGTCATGTAACCATGCGTAAGATGTCCGCCGTCTGGAAGGTCGAGGCCCATGATTCTCCCGTGCGGCTCAACTAAGGCCGTGTACACGGCGAAGTTGGCAGGAGATCCAGAGTAGGGCTGAACATTCACACCCCACTCATTCGGATCACACCGGAACAGCTCCAAAAGCCGCTTCTGACACAGGAGTTCCACCTTGTCGATGACTTCGTTACCTCCGTAGTAACGATTTCCAGCGTAGCCTTCGGAATACTTGTTGTGTAAGCAGCTGCCTAATGCCTTCATAAAACGTTTCTGGTGTAAGTTTGAAATACAGATCATCAGGTGAAATGGTAATCTTACCTGAAGAATGGCTTTCGACGTGAAGTTCTCCGACGCGATCATCTCCAGCCCCCGACGCTGTCGGAGTTTCTCTTCTTTGAACAACTCATATGCCTCGGGATCGGTTTCCGCGAGCTCCGTTCGTCCGTACGTGTCACCGAAGCTCATTTTACGGTCACTCACAGCCAACAGTGTTCTATTCAATCAATGCGGATTATGCACCAGTTACTCGAAAGGGCGATCATTGTAAGTAAAGCAAATTTTCTTCAGACCTCAACGGAAGGCTAAGAAACTTCCTGCAGTCCACTGATGATCGCAAGGAGATGAAAACACTACACAATACCCTCGACATGGCAAAAACTCGGCACTCGCCAGAACGAATCGCATTGAAACGGGCGAGACTCACCTCGAAAAACTCGAGTCAACGCGAACGTTGTGGGCGGGTCGTACCCTTAACGGGATGCGACATCCATAAACACAACTTCGGAGGGCGAGTGGAACGCGTAATCAAAGGAAAGAGGACCCAGGGACACGAGGACGTATCCCAGCGTTTTCCTCACGTAGTTATGCGCATAAATTTATTCGGCGCAGAAAGAAACGGCCGTTAGCGATGTGGAACGTGAAAACTCGGCAACCTCTCCTGGGATCATCCAAGAAAACGCCGCGATCACAATCGAAGGGCTGAATGTCGTTTAGGACGAGTTCAATTGCTTCGAAAAACGCCATTTCAGGGCTATCTCTAAATTCACTTCAATCGCCCGACTTGGGAGAGACACCATGGAATACCACGTAGAGAGCGGACATCCCGCACCTGTACATCTGGTGGTTACACTAAGAGCACCTTGAAGTCCAGAATAACTGCAATAACGTCTTGCTAAGCAAAAGTTTTGCTTTTAAACTTGGTCCAAAATTTCCCACCAGTATCTAAAATTCCAAAATTTTTTTTGAATAATGTACACTACGACACACAACCCCTTTTTCTGTTGATTTTGAGAAAGAAGTATGCGGTACTGAAGTATTAATACACCAGAACACCTGCATAATGATGCAGTTACAGTACAAAGTTTTAATCATTACTACGACAAATGGGGAACCATTTTCTAAATTTTCATAATACCATGGCGAATTGATTATCCTAGGACTTGTAATTTGAAAGCCAAACTTTTCAGTCAGATGACATGATAATTTTTCCATCTTTTAAACCATCCTTAAATCAGTTCGAAGAACAGTATAATTCTGTAATCATAATTCCCAGAAAATACATTACCTTTATATACAACCAGAACCACTGGTGCTTTTGGCAAACATTTTCCATATTTTCCTTCAAACATTTTTGCAGCTTGTATTTGAGAAAAAAGCAACCCCGAATTTTTTCCAATTCTGGGGAAGATATTACAACCATTATACAGTACTGGACTTGAGTACCATTTACACACCTTATTCTGGTGTCATGGTTCTTCAACAACATGATCCCCATCTGAGAATGCACAAGCATCTATAAAAAAATTTCAAAATGAAACACCCAGAGAAAATAAAGGAACAAATCATCAGAGTAAAATATAATTCATCCCAGCCCTGACCCACAGGAAAGGCAACCGTGTAACAGCCCTTTCTCAACACAATCCGAGATCTCCCAACACAAGAAACACAAACACGTCAGCACAAGAAAGGAAAGTCACAAATCCCCTCATTCCTTCGAGCCAGTTCAAACGACAAAAAAATGCATACAAAAAATTCAGGAGAAACATTTTTCACCTTTGCACTTGGAAAAGTGCCCTCGATTCAAAACCAACAAAACCGGTCACTCGAAAAATTTCCGGGACTAGCAAATATTTCTTCCATCACAAAATTGTGTGGCAAAGCTTGGACAAGACAAAAACACAAGCTGCAGTAGCACAAAAAAAAAAACGCAAATGGAATATCATGACAAAATTCAAAATAAATTGCGAATCCTGCCCTTGGAATGATCGGATATCATCATCATCATCATGTGAAGGAAGGAAGTTTCCATAATCACAAGAAACTGTCAACAACCAACCGTAAACCTCAGTTATTCAGCAATTTAAAAAAAAAAGACAACTGCCGACCATCAACTCTAGAAAAAAAAAAGATGCATCAACAAAAAAGTAATCCTCGAAAATGGTCAACTCAGAAATAATACGTCCTTCTCACGATTTATGCTTCGACATTATTTACACCTACAATTTATTCGTTTGGAAGACAACTCGAGAAATAAAATCCTCTTGTCCACAGAGCCCAGGACTCACTTTTCGTCTGAAGCACCGCAATAAAAAAAAAGAAGAGAAATTAAAAAAAAAACCTCACGCCAGTAAATTCAAATCCTCCGGCTCATTTTCCAGAGTTCCAACCCTGAACTCAACATCAGCCTCTATACTACCATTCGCAGTGGCGCCAATGTTCACCAGGACCCCACCATTGGCCTGACTTTGTCCAGCTATTCCACCGTAGTTTCTGCTGGTGGTACCATTGGTGGTTGCAGCGGGACGTCTGGCTTGAAACAAAACGTCAGAGCCGGTGTCTGAGTCAGACACCATCACGCTGTTGTTCTCACCCAGTCCTGTGGTCACTAGCGGAAAAGGAAATCAAATACAGAAACATCTTGTCAACACAGATACTCCCCTACAGTGGGAATCTCATTAAAACGAACTTTGGGGGACGTATGAATAATTTGTCATACAGTGATGAGATTTACAAAATAATGCGGAAAACATTTTCACATCAGACATGCCTATAATTAATTTCATTTTGCTTTTCTGACATTTTCAGATTTTTCTAGTACAGTATGAAAAAGGAGATCTTCTGAAACAAAAATTAGCTTCAATCATGCATTCTGTCAGTTGAACCAATCTCTGAATTCTGGGAGGATTTTATTTGTGTGGATCCACTTGGAAGCAAGTTTTCCTGGGATCACATCTTCCATACATGCCTCATCAAGAACCTGTCAGTGACATTTGGGATCAGAAATTTCCTACTGTACCCGTGTTAAGTGAGAAAATTTCTATTAAACTAATGAAAAAAGTTTGCTATACTGGAATTTTCAAGTTTGAAATAATGAGATTGCTTCAATGTGTAATCTATGGGGTTTCTGCTGGGACTTGAAAAAAAAAGTCATGTTGCACTGAAAAATATATTGTAATGGCTTTCGTTGTAATGAAATTTTACAGTACTTCATAACAAACTTCTCCTTGGAGACAGCCAATATTAAAGCAGTACATGTTGAAGCAATCCTGTTACAAATACAGGATCTGGCAAAGAAAGTAGGGAGAATGCATCTTTCGCAGTTGCATTCTTTAAAAAGATCACAGCTTTTCAAACAAGGTAAAACATCTGAATAGGCCAAAAAATGAAGATCATGAATACTGTATATGCAGGCTTAATTTTGAACAATGTTCCCTGTCATTAATGTTGAAAAATCTTGCTTTGACAATTTATTCATCATCCAAAATTGTTCATAAAGCGAGAAAAGATTACATATACAGACATTTTTACACCACTCTTCCAATGATTTCCTTCAAACGTCGTGGGAACTTTCCTTCACAAAATTCCAAATATTCCAAAAAGTCACATTGAAAAATAAAAAAACGATCTAATGTACTTGATACTTCAGACACACTCACAGGCCATTTCTTCACCACCAGCATCCTTCTTCTTCCTGTGCCTCGGGTTTGGCACAGAAGCGAGTCCATTCAGAAGCGAGTACCTGTGCTTCGTGGCACGTTTGTTTCTGGCTCTCTCAGAACCTCCGTCCTCCAATCTTCTCTTGCGTTTCCAGGCTCTTCTCGTGGCAATAATGGCACTCAGCAGGCAGCCAACCACAAAAAGAGCCACAATGGCCACATAAATCAGGCTCCAGTCTGTAAAGGAAAAAGTGTCTTGAATTTCTCAACAGCACTGAATGCATTTGCATAAAGAAAAAAGGGCCTTTCATTTTCCAACTTTTGTGCACTTTAAACTGTTCATTTTAAATACAGTAAAATCCTGTTACAGCAAACCAAGGGAGACTTTAAAAATTCATCTATTAAGTAATTTATGAGATCAACAACTGAAAGCATTTATTCACAATTTGACCTGCATATTTTTTATTCACTGAAATCAAATTTTGTATTTACTGAAAAACTCTTAAATCTTCTAAAACAGTGTTCCCCAACCTTTTTGGCCCTTTGAAACCAGCAAATTTCCATAAAATTTTAAATAAAAAAATATTAATTTCTGCAGACCAGCAAAGTTCCACAAAATGTTTGCAGACTCAAAAAAGTTTTACTTGAGAGACTTCATGGCAGGTATTTAAAAAGTTTCTGCTTTTTTGCAAAAATAAGTTGAGAACCTATGAAGCAGCAGATAGTGGAATGTCTTTAAAAAGTTAGAAAGGTGACGTGAACAAAGGTTTCCCAGAATGAAAAAGTAAAATAATTTATTTCAGCAGGTGGAAATTTGACTGAAGGATTATTAGGAGAAAAGCCAACTTCGATTTTTTTCATCAGATAATTTCAAATGCCACTCTTTCAAAAATTCCAGATACAGATAACAGACTTAACTTATAATTTTGGTAAATTCATTAGGTTAAAAAAAATTTTCCATGGAGCATACAAAAAAAATATCTGCGGACCACGGGTTGGGGCACACTTGTTTCTGCCAATCATGTCCATTTTCTTCAGCAGAAATCAGTTACAATAGAGCTGAGAGTACTGTTCATGATGAATTTTTCCCTCATCCAAACCCAGCAAAATCTCTCAAGCTTCTCATCAAAACTGTTCAAATAATGTACACTACTGTACAACAATACCAACCGCAATTCGCTTCCCCGTCCCCAAACCGCCTCCTGACCGGATTCTCCATCCAAAACGGATCACACCTGCAATCCCTCGTGGCTTCGTCACACCTGCCGACGCCAGAACACTCATTCTGGCAAATGACCGACTCAATGCCCAGTGCGTCGAAGCCAAGCAGGTTCGGGTCTCTCCAGAGCCTCTGCCTCAGCCTCAGGGCCACGTCTCTGCCCTTGAGCACAGTTTCCACAGACGCCTCGTTCCCACCGCCGCCTGCGCCCATGGTGGCGGCGAGGAACCGCAGCACGGCGCGTCCAGTGCGCCGCTCCCGAAACAACTTCACGACCGCCACTGTCACGCCGGAGCCGTCAGAGTCCAGCAACAGCTCGAGCTTGTCGACGAGGTTCTTCAGTTCTCCCGACGTTAAAGAGGCCAGGTTCACGTTCAGCGTCAGTTCTACTTCTCCAAACTCATTCGGACCTATGGAATGAAAAAAAAAAGATAATTCACAGACTGCGATTGTTGCAAAATATCGTCATTTGAATCAAAGTACAGATTAAAATCCCATTATAACTGATACTTTCGCTATACATTTTTTTCTTCCTTTTACCCACACTTGGACCTTTCTAAGCCAAAAACTTCCCAATGTAAAGTTTTTGGCAGGGCTCTCAAAGTTTGACAATTCGATTACTCCTGCTGTGACGAATTTCTCTTGAATAATCCCAGGAAAATGTTTTTCTTCTCAAAACCTTGGGATTAATACAATAAACCTCTGATTTCAGACACACACAAAAAAAAAAACATCCCAGAATATTGATGCCCAACATTCTTAAGCAGATAAGTTTTGCAGGTCCCAAGAATTTAGTCCAAACAAAACTTCCCCAGTGTAATCAAAGTGAGGTAAGCAAGAAAGTATACAAAAGCTCAAGAAATTACTTGGTTTCACAATAATCGATACTGTGTCCTCAGAGAACCCGCTTTGCTCATCCTGCACCCTCAGTTTGAACTCATAGTGTCCAGGAATAAGGTCAACCAACTGCAATGGGAAAAAAAAAAACATGAAGCCAATTATTATTATTAAAACTTTTTGCGACTTACTTTCAAAACAGGGGTCATGGCAGAATTTCCAACAATTGTCCCAGCTGCAGAACTGCCTTCCAACCGGGTCCACTCCCACTTGACAATGCCCACATCATCAGTTGAGCCCGTGCCATTCAGCAACACCTCCGCACAAGGCAGGGTCACCGACACATCCGGCCCAGCTGACGCCTTCGGTGGTGCATTCTCAGCTGGAAATTGTAACAAAAAAAATCATCAATAAATCAGTTACTTCCTACAGCAGTTACCTGCCCCATAATTTTCAAGGAGGCAGTTATTACCAATTATTCTATGCATTGAAAGATAATATTCAAAAATTAAAAATGTTGCTCCACCCTTTAAAAATTCTATAAAGTCATGACTGTGATTCAATCCATGGCACTTCAATGAAGATTTGGAGCCTCAACAATTGTTTTTTTTTTTTGTGGCCCACAAGGACTATCCCCCTGTGCAATGTGGCCCTCTGGCGACAAATGAGTTGGGGCAACACTGTCCCAGAGACTTCTGCTTTACTCACTTTGTACAACCGTGACGTTCACGACAGACCAGGAAAACGACACTCCATCAGAAACTGTCAAATTAAAAGCATATTCTCCTCTCGTGAGGGACTTCACCATGGTTTTCGAAGCCATCGGTTGTTCAATCACAGCTTGCTGAGGTCCTCTAAAGAAACAGAAGAAAACGTCAATCGAGGTGAAATATAATTTGAAGAAGGAGCACGCGGAAACTCACTTGATTTGAGTCCAATTCCAGGTTTTCACGCCAGGTGAGCTGCCACTTCCATCCAAAAGCACTCCGTTCACTGGTAAAGTTACCGAAACGTTTCTTCCTGCATTTGAAACCAGGTTTCCTTGTTCAGGTGGTTTGACAAACACGCGGACTTCGTCACTCGCAGTCTGATTCGCTGTGTCAGTCACCTGTAAAGCATAGAATGATGAAGTCAATTGTTAAATTACAAGTTTTTCTTACGATTGAAAACCCCCAAAGTTTCCGCAAATGAGGCAAGCAAAATTGTGTTGGCAACACACCAAAATTTGATTTTTGAAACTCGATACTTTTCCAAAGCTCGGTTTTCATTCGAAGATCCCTCATTCGTTGACTTCCTAATTCTTTTTTCCCATTTGATCACTTACAATTTAAAATTATCTCGCCGAACTGATGAGTCTCATAAGAGTTATTCATAGAATTCGCATAAAAAATTCAAAGCTGTATTTTGGACCAACTGAGGATCAGGGCCCAGCGATTTTGGCGACATCTATTGAACAAGCCAGCGATATATTTTGCAAATACAGTAATGAGATGCCCTTGCCAACGTTAGATTGCTGTCCTAAGATTATTATTCAAAACCGAAGATACACTCATAAGATTATCTGAAACTTTTCAGTGCGATTGATTAATTGATTCACATTTGATGAAAAAAGAAGCCCAAAATTTGTCAGTTTTTGATAATAATTTTGAGTAACTTTATAATGAAATTTACTTTCAATTTTTTTAAAAACACAAATAGCTCAATTTGTTCAAGAGATATCCAAACATTGAAAAGCACATTGAAATTTTCTCCACGTTTATTGGAAATGTTGGAAAAGTGCCCATTTCTCGAGACATTTTCCGGACGTTTGGGCACACGTTTAAAATTTCAAGTGTCTCCAAGTGGAATCGTCCGTATGTCGGGGTTCCAGCGTTGTTTTCTACATGATATTTTTTTAGATAAAAAATAAAAAAGCAATCATCCTCACCTTCAAGACAAAGGAGTAAACCCCTTCGACAAGTTTGGAGAGCGTCAAGGTGGCATTCCGCGTGTCTCGCATGTCCACCGCCAGGTTCGCTCCTTCACCACGGGTCCACTCCCAGGACACAATCCCTCGATCATCCGTCGTTCCTTTGGATCCATTCAAAACAACTGAAGAAACTGGTAGATAGACGACGATGTCTTCTCCTGCATTGGCCACGGGTGGGTAGTCAATTTCCTTTTCCACGCGCACGTACGCCAAGGTTGAATTGGTCGCCCCGTCCGAGTCAGTCACCGTCAACCTGTTTTTTTTTTGGGGAGGTTACCAAAAAATTTCATTACTCTCCAATTTCCTCCGGCATCACGTAGATGTCCCCTGAATTTCGTCATCGACTAAAATTACGTTACAACCACTTTTCTTTTTTGTCCCGAGAGTTTCTTCATCTGGGACAAGGAAATTTCGTTATAACAAACTATTTATTTTAATCTATGATCTCAGTACAACGGATTTATGCCTTGATCATGAGCGCATGGGTCATGAAATTTTTAAATAATTGGTAAAATGTGAAAAACCTGCACAAAAAACACCATGCGAATTGTTTTCTACAGAAAATTCAGAGAAGTTCAGGAAGGAATTTCTGAAATAAGGAAGTATTATGGAGCATATATTAGCTTTTTTACACAAAATTACGGTCCAACATGATCAAGGAACCATGAACATACGCATAAAAAATGTTCGTAATAACGAGTTCTTTTTCTCACGTCCCTGGGAGTTCTCTGCAACGGGATTTAACTGCATTTCGTTCACAATGAGGTTAACGGTTTCACGGGACATTTTCACGACACGATGTTGAACTTTTTACTTGAGGAATGCTCACTTCAGAGTGTAGTTGCCAGCAGTGAGGTTCACCAGCTTCAGCATTTCGGACCCGTTTTCAACGGCACTCGGTAAACTGTAACCAATCGGAGCCTGTTCCAAAGTCCACTTGAAAGTGACTACTTTGTCATCGTCTTGAGACGCAGAACCATCAATGAGAGCAGAGTTGGAAGGCAACCGAATGACTTGGGTCACAGGCTCCACCATTGCAACAGGTGCAGTGTTGACCCTCAATGGCGGAAGAACGGTTAAATTTGCAGTTGCTGAGCCAAACGAATGCGTTCCTTTGACAGTCACCTGGCATAAACAAAGTCATTTCAAAAAATATGAAACATGAAAATTATTCCAGTATTATACGCCTCCTTGTTGGAGGGTTTAAAATACCACAACTAAAACACGAAAATATCAGCAGGGATTATTCAAAAAAGGTCTTAATACGGTTGAACCCTCCTATGTCAAATCATTCTCTGAATTCCCTTAGAAACAGTGCATTAAAAAACTTCTGAACTCCAAAGCTTTCCTCCCTCAAACCTCTGCAACTCCAATCATTCAGAGGCATTTTGTTCATCATTTTATTGACACAGGAAAAGAAGAGCAATAAAAATTCTTGCCCCCAACTTCCAAATTTCTGTCAACTCATTTGTGAGCAATTCAAGGCCCAGAATAACAGCATAATTACAATTTCGGGTAATTTTTCTTTCCCCCCCCCCCCCAACATTAACTAAAAGCCAATCAACCACATACAGTGTGTCAGTACAAACAAATCAACTGAACATGAATGCCAGTGACATCTACCCAAACAAAAACAAACGTAGCTTCACAACGGACACATCTACCTCAATTCCCAAAAGAATTAGAAAAATTTGTCATTGCACAGCGAATATTTGAATACGAAAGAAAATGTTGAGCTCTTGTTTCACCTGGAAAGAGTAAACCCCTGGCTTGATATCAGAGAGTCTGAGAGTAGCACTATTTTGATTCGTGGTGGTCCCCTTGTCTTCTCCCCCGGGCAAGGCGTTCATCAATTTCCAGTTGTACTCGTATCCCTTGGGGTCCACGTCAGGCGAAGGCGGTGGCATGGCAAATGCTGACAAGGTCACATCAGGTGATGGCAGCCTCACCACTTTCGAGGTCGCATTCACAATGAGCGTTTCAATGGGGCTGGCTGACGTTGAAGTTGACGAAGGCTGAGACGTTGAAGCTACAAGTTTTAAATAGAACCATCTTATACCAAAAGTCTCAAAATTGGGAGGTGAAAAAAGTATGTACTGCTCTTCATAGACAGGGATAAAATCTTAAAAAGACGTTAAAATTGCACATGTGCATCATAATTGCATATAATGGGAAAGTTTCGACAAGAACTTTCAAAACATAAAAAAATTGATTGAATTCCGGCAGTATTCATAAATTTAAACTCTCGCGTCTCTTATTTTGAAATATTGCAGCTTTTCAAATTTCAATCACTGAACAATGGGGTGCGCATCTTATTCACAGATCGGATTTCATTGAAATTTTACGGTGACAAATTGGGATGTGTGTCTTACTGGAAGGTAGCACGGTAAATGAGTAAATATGGCGAAAACAGTGCAGTAAAAATATGGTGGATACAGTAATGCGCTGTTTTCCCCCAAATATAAAAGGAACTTGTTTTTCAAGATTAAGAGGAAAAAAGGAGGGTGCGTATCTTAAGCAGGTATACAATTGACGCTGAGGTTTGTGTTACACTTGATTCTCATGAAAAACTTTAGACCCGTTAAAAAAAAAAAACAGTCGTCAAGAAGAGGAAACAAATGAAAATTATTTGCATTCTTAGAGGTTTATTTCATATTAAAATTCTTATGCGTTGCATCTTCAAAATTGAGTCACTAAAATCGGGAAGTGCTCAGCTACTATGCGAAGTAGCAACAATCAATGTTCAACGGCATAGAAAAGCACAAGAAAAATTTCAGGATGAAACAAAACTTACAACTGGTTGTCAGTTGAATGCATGTCCCAGCAACAGCATCCCTGGTGAAACCTGCTAGACACACACAGATTCCTTGTCTGGAATGCACTTTGGAACCTTCTTCTGCTCTCAAAACACACTCTTCATTCACCCCACATTGATCCAATGCATACAAACAAGTCTTGGACCCTAATACTGCTGAACTTGTATTTGAAACAGCTTCTGAGGTTGAGTTTCCACTGGGTTCTGGTTGAGAAACTGTGGTTGATGCCTCATTGCTGGGATCACTTGGCATGCTGCAACAACAAAAAGAGTAGGCATTAGTAAGGCCCTAATTTCATCTACAACAAGCACAGAAATGAGCACTGGATTGATATATTTTCTCAGCACTGTGTCACATTTTGAAATGGAAAGAAAAATTTTCAAGTGAAAGCCAACATGATCTGAAATAAATTGTCATTACCAAACTGGCCAGAAAACCATATTCACTCAAGTATCACGCAACCTGATGTAAAATACACGATTTAATTTCTCAGAAAACATTGAACTGTGTAAGATGCATAACCAAGTTTTCTGTGACACAAAATTTACTTAATCTTAGGAAAATAACAGCAAAACTTCAAAATTCAGACCAACACAAATTTGAATTGGCTTGAGCCAAGTTTTTTTGTGTTTCACAATTTCATCAGCAAAGTTTTACTTAAACCAAAATAAACATTTGAACTCTTTCTTGTAATAATGTGTTGAAAGGAAATTTACTTATTAAAAAATTGGGAACAGAGGTACAAAAAACGCAACCATCTTTTATAAAAAAAAAAATGGTGCATGTGGTACTCAATACATTTTTGCAGATGTTTTATTTGTAGGCTAACCTAAAACATCAAGTGGCAAGCCAGAAGTTGTTCAAGTAATGGTTGGAATAGAAAATTAAGTTACTAAATAGGAAGAGGACTCACTTCAATCCCTATTGTTCATTAACAGATATTTTGGGGGAATCTATTACAGAAGCTATGTTACAACAAGAAATTAATTTCAAAATACCAAAAGACCACAGAAGGGGCAAAAAGAGCGAATATCACAGCAGAGAGCTTCATTAATGTCAGAATCAGATACTGCAATGCATTTGTTATTTTGAGGTTTCCTCTTTCCATCTCTTTGGTAGAATAAACCTCACACCAAGAATGAATAATTTATTTTTCTAAAAAAATGCACACTTACTGTTCCATAGCCTTCCTGACAGCATGTTCCCCACAGCAAACAGAAATCAGGAAAAACCATGTCAGTAGAAAAAGCCTCATGCTGGTAGTCAAGACACACAACACATGTCAAACAATATAGCCAATGGCAATTCCAAAGAGCACCTGGGGAAAACTAACACAAAAAAAAGCATTTCATAAAACACGGCACATTTCCAAGCAACACTCAATGCAAAAAGTGAAAAAATAGGACATCTCGAAAGACAACAGATTTTGTTCCATCTTGGACAAGTTCAAGACCAAAATTCGGAGCGAACTTTCCTGAGTTCAAACAACAAAAAATATTCAAGACACAAATTGCAAGAAAGAAGAAAATAATAAAACAACCAAACGCATGTGACAATGAAAAAAAAAAAAAACTCAAGCGCTCACGATGACTTTCTGCACAAGAATACAACCAAATCCGCAAGAAATTCTGCTTCAAAAGCACGCATCTTCTCATCCCACAGGAATCCAGTTTTTCGCATAATAAAGTAAAAAACCAGCTTTTCCCGATCCACAGAAACTGGGGACAAACATTTTTTCAGGGAATGCACGAAATTTCTTTCTTTTTTTCTTCTTTTCAGATAGTAGATTTGTTCAACTTGTGCCAGCAGAGTGTTTAATACACAAACCCCCCGTTTCTCATGTTAGCTCTCTGTTCCCACCGACACGGAGTCTCCATTAAGACACTCCACTAAACACTAAAGATTCAAGCTCACGTTTTTCTTCTGTGTTTTTCTTTTAAAAACCAAAAAGGGGATGAAAGCCATGCAGATTGGAAGGTGGAACTGCAACAATAAACCAGTTCGTTTCACCAATTCCCGCGACGGAATCTGCCGCCACCTCCGCCGCCGCCGCCACGGTATCGGTTCGTGCCGCCAAACCTATTTGAATGATCGTAAGGCGCCGGTCTACCATAGCCTCCTTGGCGGCCCTTGTCTCCGTTCATGGCGTTCCTCATTTCCCCTACACTGCTCCGAAAGATCTCAATATACCTGAAAACCAATTTAAAAATTAGCGGAAATAGTAACATGAGTACTGCACTTCGCAAAACGAAAGGAACCTTTCTGGACGCTCGGAACAAATCAGGCATTCCATTTAGCTCGACACCACCTGCTTTTTCGAAGGGTACAGCACTAATAAGTAGATTTTCCGTTACATTGATGTACTCGATCGAGGATTCATCAGATCAAGTTTATTGAAAGAGGCAAATCGTACTAATATTCAATGATAAATGAGGATAATTCATGAAGATGCACCTACCTGTGCCCAATTTTCTCGTTGTGTTTGTTCAGCGCCTTCTCAGCATCTTCATTCGACGTAAACTGAACATAGGCCTCTCCGGAAGACCTGCCACTGTAATCTAGCACGTTCTTGATTCCATCAGGCGCGATTTCGAGTCCTAAAAGCACATACGACACATAACGTCTAATTTAGCTGTTTCCTAACTCGAAAATTTGCTGCTAGTCCCTCGTAATTCAGTCCCAATAAACGTAGCTCACCGTCGAAAAAGGTCATGAGTTCTTCACGAGTGCAACCAAAAGGAAGCCCACGAAGCCGCACACAACCGTCCTCTGAAGACTCTTGACCGCCGGACTTCCGAGTAACGACCCAGTTCATCTCGGATCGGGATGAACGGAAAAGCTCGATGTAGCGATGACCCATGTTCTGGTTGTTCTTGGCCAAAGCACGGTCCAAGTCTTCCAAGTGTTCCAGCTCTATGTAGGCTTCACCACTAGCTCTTCCTTCTCGAGAAAGAACCATGCATACACCTTCCGTTCCACCCCGTATTTCAATGTCTGTGGGGTCGAAAAGAAATAATTCAACACCTCGCGATTTGATCGCGAGATACGTTTTAATGAAATAACATGCCTCCGAAGAATTTGACGACGTCCTTTTCGGTGGAAGACCACGGCATGCCGCGGATCCTAATGATGGCTTCATTCGCATCGTCGCCGTTTTCCTCGCGTTTACTTTCTCCTTCGTCGTTAGACATGACTTGAACGAAAACTTCTCAAAAATGAACACACAAACTGTGTAGAGATCCAAATCTCCGAAAGACAACGGGGCTTTGCTGAACGAAAAACCAAGAGACACTCACGCGAGAAACCTGCAATGAAGCTACAAAAATTGAACTCATTCGCAGAATCCACTCGACCATAGATTTTGGGAACAGAATCAAGTTCCAAAAGCCTGTCCACAAAGCTCAGTGATGTCACTGGAATCGTTCTTAAAACGGAAAAATCTCAGATACTTTGAAAGCAACACGTGATACACTTCGGCTTTCGAATCTCTTTGGTTTCTACACATATGGATGACGTTCGTCTCACTCGCCGCAAGCAAAAATGTGCGAAATCTCAACTATGCCGCATGAGAGGATCACTGGGAGCGGCCATCTACAATACTCGGAGAGCTCACGTTTCTACCATACACAACTGTGGTTTCAGTACAGTATTTCATTGGTACCTTAGTATGAGTCACCTCACGCATTCATGGGCTGTCCATTGTCGCAAATCCTAGGATGAGCAATCAATTGTGTAAATCTATATAGAAAATTTGCCCTGTTCAAAAAATCCACGAAATGACTTTTGGTGAGCTATGCAGCATATTTACTGCATATACTGTAGTCATTAAATTATATTTTACAACAAACTCCAACCACCAGAGACCTGCTGTGAACTATTTTAATGGGCCTCCGCTTCAAAGTTAAAAAATGAACTGACGTTAATGAAAATTCACAAATGAATTCCCCAACGTATGGAGCAACTCATTTTTGCAGGAAGGAGCTTGCTTATTCAACCTTGACAATTATAAATTGTGTTCTTCCCATGTAAATACAGCATTAAAAAATGCCCATCAAAGTTTGTGAAGATGTTGGGAAATATTGTTTTCCTCAGGAATCCAATGTAACAAAATTTTTCAACTGCAGCTGCATGTTTTGCATGCATATTATGAAAGTAATTGTCTATTACTAAAACAGAAAATTTATCTTTATTCCCTTTACTGCACAAGTGCACAGTCCAATTTCCTCATTGAAAGGACTGAACTTTTCCCTCCTCCAGTTGAGATCCCATATTAATCTCAAGGAGTATCTTCTTTAAGAATTAGAATGCTCATGATCACTGGAAAAAAATAATACAGAGGAAAGATAACCCACAGAAAATTGCAGAAGTCACATGTATCTTTGCTCTCACTCATGCCCAATTTTCAAGACACAATGCACAAAAGAAAATCAGCGCCATGGTCGGAATGCAAGCATTGATCAAACTGACACTGCCAACAAAACACTCCTAAAATGGCACTTATCCTAAGCCCATTGAAAAAAAGCACCCAAGTTTCAGCAAATATCCAACCAACTCATGAATTTAAATTTCACAATCTCCAACTGCTGCAAGTCATTCTTGAAATGAAACCAGGTCTTTGAAACATACATGGCATCAATAATGAGCCTATTTAATGAAAACTCCAAATGTTGAAATGAAATCCAAATGTTTTAAAATGCGTTACATCATATCCCTCAAATGAAAGTGTTCATAAAAGCAAGCATCATTTTGATGCAGTTCAAGACCCAACTCAAAAACAAATTCTCAGGATGTTTTGCAATGTCCAGAGGCATCAAATGTCACAAAGACAATGTTTTGCATGTCCAATTAAAAACCTTGTGTCCATTTGTATTTTCCATAAAATAATAGCTTCTTTTCAAGTTCCATAAAACTTGGTCAGTCAACAAAAGGGTTCTTTAAAGCAGGAATTTCTCAGGAGAGACAAAGTGTGACAATTTCCAGAGCAAAACAGCCATTGGGTCATACAGAGGGTGTCCAAAAAGTTGGTAAGCATTGAAAAATTATATTCCATTTGACCAAAGTTTCTTCAGGGAAACATCATACTGATGCAAGCAGGCAATTGATTGAAAAATCCTCAACTACTTTTGATAAAAAAAGAACAATTAAGAAGAAATTTGTCATGCTAGCAAATTTTAGTGTGATTACGTCATCTTTCACGTGATCACTTCAGGTTTCACTGCATTTCTCAAAAATTAAAACACATAAAATGCCGGTTTTTCCAATGCACAGAAACTGTTCGGACACCCCTTCCAAAATATCAAAAATTTCCCGGAAATAAGCAATTCAGAGCTGAAGAACGCGGTAAAAAAAAAGATCCCACACAGCCAAACCCTTGGGTAACATTTCTTCCAAATCAAAATAGTCCGTTCTGATTGCGATTCCAAATTCCAGCTTCAGTGACTGAAATCACTTGATGACGTACGTAGTCCAAGAAACGGAAATCACGCAAAACTTGTGCAATAGACAAAAAAAAGGAATTGAGAATCAAAAATAACTTCGCAACAGTTGATGAACATTCAAATATTTTTCAAAGTCGCCGAAATTCAAGTGTAAAAAACGGAATCAAGAGAGAAGAGACAGAATAAAACCCAAAATCATTGCATACTCAAATTCATCAGATTTCGTTCGCTTCCGAATCAACGAAATGAACTTGAACGAGTGTAGCACAATTCTGCTCAGTCGAAAATAATTCGAATGACGTCATTCAGGGAAACGTACGACGAAAATAAGCATACGTGCACATCAGCACACAAACTTTTCCCTCCACATACACAAAACAAGGTTGGTTCGAAAATCTCAATGATCATCTCATCATCATGACAGAAAACTTCAGCATGTTTCGTAATTAATTAATTTCTCCCTGTTTATTTTTCTTTCATCCAATCCAAAATGAAGCGAAGAAGGAGCGCTGCTTAAATAAATTGTCCTCTTGAAATACTTCAAAGTATTCAGTGATGATGACAAATAGACATTTGAACTATAACCCTCAAAACAGCCCGCATAAATCACTCCCTAACTCAAGTCGTTAAAAAACTAAAGCCAGTACTGCTGTATATACAACAGCTGCTTTCTACGAAAAACAAAACTCGCGTAGAGATACTTGAAGTTAGCACATCTTATTCCGACAATATAAAAAACTAACGCTCAGTATCAAAAACCGCGGTCACTCACACACACACACACAGTCGTCAAGTTGTTGAATCTCACATCTGCTTTCCGAAATCTAAAAAAAAAAAACAACCACGTCGAAGCATCCTCGAAGGTACTGCATATGCATATATATAGAGATGAGATGATGAGACTA